TAATCATGCTCCCTGCCTGTGAACTGTGCCGTACAAGTTTAGTGCAGATGTTATGTGTGTATATATATATGTATGTATGTGAGTATGGGGGTCGGGGCTAGCTGCAGAGATGCATATGCAATGGCATCATCAACCTGAGTTTCGCACCCAGACGGACCCAACTGTGCGCAGCAGCAGCATCAGCGACAGTTTCGTCACTGTGAGGAACTCGCGGGAGCTACACGTTGAACCAAGGATGAATCGCATCAAGTCCTTAGATGCAGCTGGGCGCAGAAAGCTCTGATTCCACGTCCACCGCTTTGTGCGCACGAAATAAATTTCCCTCTTCCAGCAAGGAATCTGTCAAGCCTTCGACCTGCTCTCTCGGTGCATTCTTGACCTTCTGGTTCTTGGCCTGCCGTGTTTGGCAATGTAGGTTCTCTCATGCTTGTACAAGTAGCCAGCAGGACTGTCGTCGGCCTTGTAAATTTGGACCCGCTCGCTGAACTTGCTGACCTCAGCTTCCGGATCTTTAATACTAGGATGAAGGCCACCCAGCAACGCCTCAGGACGCAGCGAAGCTGAGGAAAAGAAGCCCTGCACCAAGGCCCAGCACACCACTTCGCCTGGGGTGCTTCACCATGACAACCTGAGAGGCAAGGCACCTTCAATATGCGGCGATCTGAACTTGCACATGCACCAGGTGTCCTGTCACATGCGTAATGCAAAGTTCATTAGCTATGCGAAAAGAAATGGATCAGAGGTACCGGCCTGTGGCACAGGTCTGGACATCATTCGCGGCATGTTTGCAGTGATCTCGCTTGACTATTGTAGCACTACTGGTAACTCTGGTCGGGGGACAGGCTGCATTGCCGTGAACTGCAAGTTCCGGACAACTATATCACTGGAGGACTGTGCTGGACGTGAACTCGTGAACGGGCAGTCAACGACGCAAACATATGTATGTATATATATATATTATTGTTATAAGTACAGCCGTACGGCCCAGATCTTGACGTTATGGGCTGCCGAACCGATCCCACACTCGACTGCTGTCTGCAGGCTGGCCAGCGGCGCAATGCAAGTCTTTCTTTGGGCGTGAAATGACAGGCTTTCGTTGTCTCCCTTGCACCGGTGGCAGTGCTCACTTGCAAGATGCACAAGGCTAGACTTACGCTCGTGAGCCGCGCGCAGGCGTTTCTCTCCGCATCAAGCCAGTCTAGGCCGAGTCTCGGCCTTTATCCTCTGCAACTGCTTCTGAAAGACCGCCCTTTCTTTCAAACATCTTTCCGTTGCTGCTTCTATGGCATCTCCATCGGGTGAATATCCCTGAAAGCTGGAACTCATGAAGTTTAGATAAAGAACATGCCGTATGCCAGTCTTCTCGTTTGCCATGCCCCAGTGGACTGTTCGAGAATCGTAAATAATGGCATCACCCACACTCAACGGAGCTCCGACAAGAAGCTTCGGAGGTGGTGCCAATGTATTAACATTCGGAGGCCTCAGCACCTGCAACACCAGGTTGGATCGCATTTCCTCAATGTCCGCTTGAATCCGCAGCCAAGCTACAAAGCTCAGCTCGTTGACGTGTGTTATCTCATCCCCCACCTGCAAGCCCATGGTCGTGCAACCTTGAATACCCCGAACTCTAGCGCAAGATCTTCCGATCTGAAGGTCGCATCCGTCGAGAAGGGCTGATGCTTCTCCGTCCCAGTGCAAGGAAAGAGCTTGTCGTTTCACACGTCTGCCTGCAGCTATGCGTTTCCGTGCATCCATCCTCGATTCGCCAATGCAACGCCAACGGCGGACCTCTGCACCGGCACGGTCAAGCAACTCTACGTCGCCATGGGTCCCCGGGCAAAACGACAACGGCGCGAAGCCATCTGTCAAGGGCTGTAGAGGGATGTGAACAGAAATACTTCCCTCGTCTTCTGTGTCGGTATGTGCATTCATGCTGCTGGTTCCCCCGTCTACGCTGATTACCAATGCACTCTCCAGAACAAAATCTTGCCCCAGGCAATCGCATAAAGGAGCCAGGAGAGATTTGTCGCGACCCAGAAGAGGCAGTGCGTTGAAGGGTGGCTGAAAAGGAATGTGAATGGCTTGCCGTTGAGCTCGCAACTCCCCAAACTTGAAGTCTGCAGCCTCGTCTGTTTCCCGAAAATCTTGGAATGCGCGCAGAAGTGCTTCAAGTTCTGCTGCATCGAAGAGCTCAGGCATCATTGCAACTCCATGTACTTTCAAAGTAGTTCCGGGGCCCTGCTTTAAAGAAATGCGCCTCAGCTCTGAAAGAGTCCAGCCCTTTGCATCTCCCTTTCCATCATCTCTGCTCGCCACTCGTGCATGCTGTGATGCCCAGGCCGCGCTGTCGGGCAAGGCAGGCACCCACGCTTGCCAGGCAAGCCAAGCCCCCACACATTGGAAACAAAAGCCTGGCCACCATCTCGCCATGGCACGTCACTGCCGTCAAGAAGCAGACCCGAGAGCAAGGAGGTGGTTGGGAATATAGAGAGGTAATGGAAGTATAAAGCTTGCGGACTGGAGCTCCGATTCCAACATGATTTCAACCAAGTGCTTGCCCACTTTGCTCTATGCATGACGATAAGAGTGCAGTAGTGTTGCAATACGAGCCTAACAATGTCTCTATGGGGGTTGTGCTCCTCATGGCATCTTACAGAGCCGTTAGTCTCCATAAGAGTTGCGACAAAGGCTTACCAGACCAAGATTTGATCAAGACAGAAACAACAATCATCAAATTAAAAAGTTTCTTGAGCTTAAGAAACTTATGGTCTCAACTTGCTGAGGGGGAATCCGGGTTTGGTGACTTTAGAGATCTTTTCAAGCAATCATATCTGCATTAAGAAGTCGAGAGTGCCCTTGCAGCTGTAGAGAAGTCGAGGATGCCCTCGACCTAAACCAACTGCTTCTCAAGCAGCGCTGTCATGACAATCTAACCTGATAACTTAGCCCAAGATAGCGTGCCCTAGCGTAACCCAAACAGCCCCAGAAACAAGGCGGAAGACACCTGCTGCATGCTGCCATCGTGTTCACCCAGCTGCATCCCATACCATTGTATGCATGGGTGCTCATGCTGCTGTGATCTTCACGCGCAGGCAAAGCAAACCTGTTTTAAATAACAACTAGCAAACCCACATTGCACTCTAACGCATCAGTAGTTGCACAGCACACTCGGAATTTCCTTCGAGCGAGCCCCGAACGCTCATCACTCTGTGTCCCCGCAACATCCCGCAACGTCAAGAAGTTTCATCACCAGGCGCTGGAGCAAAGACAGGGATCCGCTGATCCGCCAAAGTGCTACTATTCAGACCAAGGCCAGTAAGGGAATATTTTGGTATTCCTCCAGGCACAAAGGACAAAGAGCCCACATGCGAGCTTTCTTTGCTGCAGGAGCGTCGATCACATGAGACGTGTCCACGAAGCCGAACGTGAAATTGTGAGACCACTTTCGCTTGCAGCCTCTCGAGAACCTCTGCGAAGATTGTCTTTCAGGTGGGTCACGGTGTGCGGAAAGAAACTGTGCACGGGATTCTTTGATGGATTCAAAGGCATTGTCTCTCCAAATTGCGGAGTCAGCTGCACGATCTCACACCAACGTCGCCTGAACGCTTCCACCAAAGCTACTTCAAGCTGAGGAAGCTTCAGTTGGTCGGCTATCTTCATGCCCGCCTCGAACTAGTTTGGACTCTTCTCGCCTATAGGCGACAGACCAAAGGCTCCGCACGGAGGCTCTCCTGCATTTCTTGGGCGAAGATCGCCGGCAGCTCTAGCTCCACCACATGCCGAAGCGCCAGCATCCGCGCGACTGAGAACTGCGCAGCGACCTTGACACCGGCTATCAGATCTCAGGAGGGAGTTGCCGCTGCTCGGATACAGCACACCACTGCCCCAAATGTCGTAGTTGCTGCGCATCGTCACTTCTTGCTCATCTCCCAAGAGTTCATCGATGTCCCAGTCTGTTTGGTCAGGGGCATTTTGGCCGCATGCTGTAGACGAGCTCCTATGTTTTATTCATGCACGCCCGAGCCATGTCACACAGACGACAGAAGTCGAATTGTCTTCAAGGCCAGTGTGTTGGTTCGTGCTTGATCGAGGCACTGCATTATACAGGTACAAGCTGAAGTCTGAGGAAGGTAGACGGGCTGGTGCATGATGGTGCATGCATGCATTTGGAAATGAGCATGTTCCTTGGAGTTTGATCACACGCGCTTGGTGCGATGTTCTTGCGTCTTGATCTGTGAATCCATGCTTAATGACTAATCGCTGGCTTTGTTGGTGAATCGGCTGGTTCCTGACACTTCGGGGAGTCTTGACTGTGGGATTGTGCCACAACAGACAAGGATGAGAATAGCTGGGCCCTGCTAGCTTTGCAGCATCGGCTTGGACCCCCATTCCGCGAGGCAGGAGGCGAGGCTCTAGCTCACCAACACATTGCTTTACGTAGAGAACCTGCCTGCACCTGAAGGCCACAGCATGCATCCCAGACACAGAACAGCACAGCCCGCATGCAGTACTGTCTGGACTTGCTTTCGCGTACACTGCCAAAGGCCTATGCAGAACACTCGTCATGGGCTTAGGCTCAGCCACCTCGGGTTCCTTGGGAACCTAAGCAGGCAAAAAAAACGGGGCTCTTAATCCTGGGCTTGGGCTTGTTCGGCTTGTCGATAGAAGGCTTTTTGCTCCAAGCATCTGAGCTGTGAAATCGTCAAGCCCAAGCAAAGCTGTGCAACTCAACAGCCGGTATGTAAAGCTTGCCTGCCAACTGCGTTCGCAGGTCGCACGATGCACCGCAGCACAAGGTTAGTGCGCAGAGTGTCATGTTCAATTCCGGACCAGGACCGGGGCACAAACAGCCTGTTGGCATCTCATTCTCAGCCACCTACGAGCAGCAGATCACCATGTCGTCAACGGGCTAATAATACGTAGATGATTGCACATGGTTAAGATCGTGCACCAGACAGTGAGACCGCAGTGCCACAAGACAACTGGGGCATAGCCAGCCCTCAGTTCTGCTTTCCCTTCTGGCTGCCGTCTTTGCTTTGCATCAACCTGGCATCCAGATTCAAAAAGAGCTTGAGTAAAGCTTCTCGATTCGGGAAATTCGGGATCTTGGAGCCAGGCTGGGAGGCCACGGAGGCCCTGGGAGCTCCTGGAGGGCCAGGGCAGCAGAGCAGAGCACAGCACCCTCCTGATGAAAGAGTTAGCTTCTCTTCTTGAGCGCCCTCCTGCCAGAGTCTTGCCGCCTGGAATGGTGCCATCCTGTGCATTGCTTCTGGTGGCACAACGGGTGGGACAGCACGTCACAGCACCAAGCTCGGAGCGAAGGGCACCACTGAGGAAGCATCAGCTCCACGGATCTGAGTGCAGATGTTAAGCACCAGCCGTTCACGGGGTGAACCACAACACCCGGACAAATGGCGGAGCAAGGGGATGACCAACATCCGTGCGGTCAGGGCACCGACGGCCAGTCGCCAGCGGCAGGGTCTTCTTCGACGGGCCCTCACGGCGTCATGGAACCGATCGTTAGTCCAGCACTCAACAACTAGACGCAGCCAGGCGAGGTTCCAGGCACGACCAGCGACAGGCATGTCTAGCCCTCTCAAGCATTTTGTCGAGCAAGTTAGATTAGCAGCTGTCACGGGGAGTTTGCCAGCTTTTCCTCGTAAGCTATGAAAATTGTCGAGTATCTAAAGCTCTGCGACATTATGCCCAGCGGCCATGCGTTTTCCAGCGTGCTTCTGGAACAGGGACCTCAGGAAAGGGGATTGCACCCAGATAAAGTTCCAGGCTGCATTCTGTGCTGTGAACAAGGTCTGTGTGTCCGTGTGGGGTTCTCTTATGAAGATGCCAAGCAGCCATCCAATGGATCACCTGGTTTCTCAAAGGCATGGACAGTCATATCTGCTGCTTGGGAGCGGAGATGAAGCGAGCAGCGAGCTGAGCAGAGCCGAGCCACTACGTTCATGGCATTTATGCTGCTCGCGCTCGCCACCAATGCCCCCCCTGTCCCAAGTCTCAAGTTGATCCTCGGGTAGCAGGACCAGCGGCTTCTACTTTGCTTGGCTGTTCTGGGCTGACTCCAGACTCGCTTCCGAGCATCTTGAAGGTCTTGTCTGCATCTTCCAACGGGAACTCCGAGACGCAAAGGCCATGGAATATACTGACAGCCTCAACTTCAGGCTTCGTCAGCCGCTGTGTTTTGGTGCCGGAGCATGGAAAGTGTTGTCTGAGGAGGAAGCCAGCATGAGGCCCAAAGCTCCGAGGCAATTCGTGACAATGGCCAAACCTCAAAACTCTCGAGACGCTCTCATGGGACTGCAACTCAAAAGCATGCCAGGCGGTGGTTGGCGGCACATGAAGTATTGCATCAGGCTCCAGCACTTGATGCAGTTGTGATCATTCTTCCCGCGCATCCGCTGGATGTCAGTCCATGCATTGACAAGTCCTGCATGCGTCCCCTTGCGAGCATGTTGGGCCCAGTTTGTGCATTCGCGCATGCGTGTCCTGTCGCGATTGAAAGGAAAGACATTCCGGCACACCCCTTGGAGGCTTGGTCGCAGATGCGGCAGTAGGACCCAGCACCCAGCGAGCTCAGGTTCCTTGGTACAGGATGCAGCCCACAGCAAAGCTATCTTCAAGGTCTTGCTGATGGTGGCCCACGTGCACACAAGTTGAAACGCGAAGCGCGGGGCTGACGGCTTAAAGGCTTTGCAGGTCTGGGCCAAGCAACTCAACACAGTTGCTGGCGCTCCATTGGATCACCTTAGGCTTCCAGAACTTCGCGATGGAGCACGGTTCCAAAAAGGGGCCGCTGGCCTTGTAGATGTGGAAGTTCTTGCTGTCAACCAGCAATGCCTCCAGCCCGATGGAGACTTTGGCCTCTAATCCGCCACATCTGTCCGTCCTCAGCTGGCACTGTCTGGAAGCAGGCCGGCTCTGCTGTTCGCGTGTTCCTACTGCTGGTCATGACCGCCTAATTGCGCAGACCAATCATGCATGAGAAATCTAAGCTGTTCATAGCTGCGCGCAGTTGCGGCAAGAAGCTTGATGCACTCGTAAGTTCCAGACGCCTGATTCAGGCATGCACGACCCACGTTAACGGCTTCGCAGATATGTTGCTGAAAACTCAAAATGAGGCTCCAAGCGGCCCAGGGGAAATCGTTCAAATTCCCTTGATTCGATGAAAGAGCAGCAGCAGGCATTGCCTGCAAAGGCTACACGCAAGCTTGCCCTGTCATGTGGTGGTGTCGTAGCATTCGACTATCTAGAGACCAAACCACTTTAAAGCACTATGTGATGAAGTCCCAGCTTCTCGCAGAAGCATGCTGACGCAGGTCAAACAAAGTGAAAGGAACCTCGGCTAGGAAGGCAATGGAAGCTTGACAAAGAACCACTAACACGAATCTGAAGACAACACGTGCATTCCATGCTTCGCAGACACAACCACATGCATGATGCCACGCGCCAATGTGCTAGAAGCTAAGCAACATGGCTAGCTTGCGCAAATTCCCGAAAACTCTGCATCCTCTCTTGCCGAAGAAGAAGCAGCACCTTCCATGAGTGATGGTCTAGACCAGTACCCCGTACAGTAAACCGTCCCAGACAAGCAGCAACCGTTCGTGAGTGCTCAACCACTAACCACTCAAGCTCGATGACATGCTCGCGTCGCCTGTTGGCTTCGCACCATCTGAATGGACAGCCTTGTCGCTGCAGGCCTTGGTTGAATACCCGGTGACTTACATATCCTGGTCCACTGGTGCTGGTGTGCTCATGGCATCCGGCGCAAACACCACTTTGACAAAGCTGTCAACGGACAGGCCAAGCCCTGTACACTTCGAAGGGCGTATTTGTGGAAAAGGAACCTTGTCCTCAGTTGTGACTAGCATTCCGCTCGATTGGAAGAAGAATCAAGTTATCCCAAGGACTGCTGATACAAGGCAGGTTTCTAGGCAGCGTTCAATCGCGTTGCCACAGCGCGCTAGCCTGCACTTTGAAATGCTTGACGAGGATGTGGATTTATTATGGCTTATTGACAAGAATCCCGCCCGATCCTTGACAACTTCCTCGGCCGTTCCGTGGCCGACCCATCAGCTACAGCACCAAACACCGTCGGAGCAGGAAGCACCAGCCCAGGTCCGTCTGCTTCAGAGATCGCCATCCGAAGCTGCGTGTTGGTCTGCTCCTCGTCGTTCTCGCCCAAAGTGCTGATGTCATCGGCATCATCGACTCGAGCCATATCGACTCCCGCCTTGCCGCGCTCCACCTACACCATGGCCTCAAATGAAGCTCCAACCGAGCTCATGAAGCCGAGAAGCTTCGGGTAAGTGCCATCTGCCAGTCCCACCAAGAATCACAGCATGGCTCGTTCACGGCTTCTATCGCTTTTTTTACACTCCACGCTGTTCGCAACGGGGAAAATCAGCTCCTTTCGCCACCCATCGGGCCGCAGAGGCTGAGCTCCGTCGGATCCTAACTGACTCCTAACGACTCCTGGCCGCACAACACCGCCGTTTGGCCGCTGCGGTCGGGAGTCACAAAGGTCGTGGCCGCAGCCACGTGGCTTCTCTCACTGCACGACACAAACTGAGCAAGATCCACAAAGGAAGCCCTTGTTGCCCATCAGCAACAATGCGTCGTCACAAACCTGCAACTGCACGACTACATGCACGTCCTGATAGCGGGTATCCAACCCAGTCCTCTTGCAGCTCTCGATCTTTGCTCTGCTTCGCTACTCCTGGGTTGCGCACATGCTGTTTAGATGCGAAGTGCCGATGCTGACATATTAGTGGTGGTCGAGTTGCAAAGCATTCGAAGCCTCAATCCTATATTCATCGAGACATGTCATGGCAGCTGCTGGTCATTTTCGAAGACCTCTGCAATGATGATTGGTCGAAGGCAGCGGAAGCGTGCAGGTGCTGCTTAGCTCTCAGATCAAAAGACACGTCCCCTACAGTCTAGGTGTAAACACCTGAGTTTACACAGTGCATCACAGTGCTGTTCATCTGCGGTTGCCTTCAACAAACGGTGCCGGTGTTCCGGCATCGGAACCCACATTCCTACTGTGCTGGTGTAGTACAGTCCAGTGGGTAGCACCGGTCCCGACCCTTGAAACGCATCCAAGAAGTCTGCCAAAGAATTCGTTAAAATTCGTGCCCCGCACCGAATGCCGGGTGTCTGTAGTCTAGACCTCCGACTTTCTTTCCGCAGGCTTTCATGCATAAGACAGAAGGTGCTCTCTGTCTTTTACAATTACTGCAGGCTTCGCTGCAAGGCAGCCATGCTTGAAATCCACAATCAAGGCCTGTCAGTGACTAGACCTTCTGTACAGGTCGAGGTTCGATGAGGCCTGCCCGTATGGCTGCGATTTTTGCCTTCTTGCGCTCTTTGAGTTCACCGGGGGGGCACATATGGCAGTAGTCGCATAAGATAGCATTGGAGCAGCCTCTAGATTTCCAGAACCAGGCACAAGGCTTGCACTGCCCCGTGCCGTGAAGGGCGGAGCCCTGTGAAGGCACATCTGCTGACAAGCCACGCTGTTGCTCAACGGAATCCGGAAGATTCTCGCAGGGCGGCAGCATTGAAAGAGCCTGGCGTCCGTCTGCACGCGTTTCCAAGTTGGAGCTGGCCTCAACATTCTGCTCCTCAGACTGCGAAGTGTAGTTCCACGTTGGAGCTTTGGAAACGACTTTGTTGGATCCTCGATGTGCATGGCTCGGGGGCAAAACCAATCCGCTTGTGTTGGGGACAAACTCCTGGGCATTGGCATTGAGACGCGGCTTTGGCTTTGGCAGTTGCTGCACTTGTGCTGTTGTGACTGACGGCATGCCAAAGCTGCAGCCCTTATACATCGCATGGGGTGTTGGCGTGGATGGCCAACACCCACCCTTGTGGATCCGGACATCCTCGTAGGCCTCTCCTGGAAAGGCAATTACTCAACATATTGAAATAATCAGCAAGTTTCGCCAACTCATGGCAAGCCCTATACTCGATGCCATGAAGCTTTGGAACGTGTCCTGAAATGTAGGATTGGCACGACGGCGACCGTGTCGTCTGGTCCTGGCTTGCGGGAGTGCCCAGTGCCTCGGAACAGAGGTCACAGTGTGTGAAAATCGAAAAAATGCTTGATTCAATCTGGTTGCTCTCATAATCTCCACTTTCTGCACCGTGTCTGCGATGGCGACGTTTACCTGTCGCCGTGGCAGCGGCAAGGAGGGATGACCCATTAGAAGACCAGCCAGGGTGTGCTGAAGTCCCACGGAGCAAAAGTCAAACACGCCCCGTCTGCCTCTGCTATAACTTGAGCCGGGAATGCAGCGTCACAAAGAGCGTTTCAGCTCACTGACAGCTTCGAACTCCCGGGGCAAAGGACTCGAATTCTTCCGAGGCTCGGGAAAAGAACTGCAGGGACTTCCGAAACTTGGGCTCCTCGGCTCCAGGACTTCAATTTTTTACATTTTGGCTTCTTGCTTTGTCGAGAGTCATCGGCTTCGCCCATGAGATCCAATACTGAAGTACCCAGGCGGAGTTGCTGCAGGACAGCTTGGACCATCTCCTCATTTCTAATGGCAGGTCGCAGGCACGAGGGATGAGGGATGCCCTACACCTCTGGCTGGTTTGTGACTGTTTAATGAAGCCTTGCAACGCCTTTTTACTCCATAGGCAAGAAACAACGTTCGATGCTTTGCTCCTCTCCTCTTCTTCAACTTCGTTCAGCAAGTCTACCGTCTACCTCATCTCCCCCTCTCCCTAACTCACCCTCTCCATCCATTTCCACGTGCAGCTCCGTGGCCATGTAATTCTTGCGCCTCGGTGGCGGCCGGCAGAGGGTCAGGCCTTCAATGTCGCTCTATATTGCTATTGCCGAAAAGTGACAAGCAAATTCCATCTTCTTCAAAGCCTGGCAAAGGCACATCGCTGCAAATTCCGAGGCCGATCTGTTGCGAATTATGGCAGGCAAGTGCACACCCAATATGCGCTTCTCGCTTGCAAGGCTTGGGCGGCTTCAACATTCCTCAACCGATCTTGCGGCCCGAGGGGCTGAGATAGGCGGCTGCTTCTTCGTCTGACCGGATCCTTACACTGCCATGACAAATACAAGAACCCGAGAGACCCATCGCGGCTTTGGCGCGACCTATCTCAAGACTGTGACATCCTGAGATCTTTAGACCTTCCATGTTGCTTTACGAGCAGGTTGTGGGAGCCTGATTGTGGTCACAGCTTCTGAACACCAATCCGACTTCTGTGCCGCCACGGCACGCGTAGAATTTATTGGTTGGGCTTCCACACTCGGCTCCGTTCTGAACGTACGGCGGCGTTGGAAAGACATACCTCAGCACAAGGCCACATGTCCTCGACCACCCAAGACCTGGACATCTCGAACATGCTCACGAACATGCCCTTGTTCTGGCCTTTGCTTCTGGGGTAAGCGCTGGGGAGTCATGCAGTCAACTTACAAGGGAGTATTGCTGTCGACGACACCACATCCAGTGACTTCTCTTCTGACCATCCCGCACCTCCTGCAATGCCGTGGAGTAGTGCTTCCTGTCAGGAAGGAGGCTTGCATCACCATGCGTCTGTCTGGCCTCACACGTTTGTTAGCTGCGCTGCCTTTGCTGATCAGCAAAACGTCGTATGTTGAACGGGTCGTCGCTTTCGAGCATTGCAGTGTTTGATGCGATCGCAATACTTGGACTCCCAAGGCTCCGCTTGCACAATACGTCACTAGAATCTCGCCTGCTCTGGTGACTCTAGTGGCTTTGGCTGGCTGTACGAAAGTCGGCAACATGATGTACGCTTCCACATTCCACGAACTCATGTCGTGGTACCCCCAGCTTTGCAGGGTCGAAAGGCTGCAAGCCTGAGCCAAGCACCAAGCCGAGCAGATCGGAGAACGTCTTCTGAAACTGTCGAACACAAAAGGTAGCACAAAACGTGCTAACTCCCTTGGCACATGCCCGCTCTGTCCAGCCGTTTTGATTGCAACGAGTTGCCGTGTAAGACAACCTGCCATCCTTTTGAACGAAGCGATACGAAGCGATTTGCATCCGGCTCTTGTAGCCAGCTCGAGTGCCAGAAACTGCTAGGGGCATGCATGGCTGTCAATGCAGTCCAAGGGGCTCAAGGTCTCCTACCACCTCCTGGCTCTGCCAGGACGAGATGGTCATCAGCCCCTTGGGCGGATTTCGAGGGCTCCTGGCTTCAGACTGCAGCCGAAAAAAGAATCATAGGTTGATGAAGCGTGCATTCACAGCACAACTCAACCAAAAGCTTTTCAGTATCTTTTCAGCTCAAGCTGGGGGGGACTCTAAGCATCCCGAGGTACATTTTGCCGCAATGCCTTGCTGTCTGCGTCCCTGGGACATGCTTTCAACAAGTCGAATCCAGCCGAAGATAACAAGATGAAGACGATGCTGGTACCTGGAGCTCTCCTCGCCGCTGGAATTGGTACGCGGTCCTGCTGCCTGTTTTGATTCGTCTATGCACCGGGACCACTGCCGCCAACAGCGTTGCGTAACAGCCGCCATTGCCAATCGCTTCAATAATAGATCAGCACCGCGACCTGCTTGGGCATGCTACTTGCGCCGCCGTGAATCACCTGTGGCACCGTTACCAATAGCAACATCTATATCCAATGGATGGCTTTGGCATCGAAGGGCAACCCGCCAAGCCTTGCAAAGGCAGACCGTGTTCATGATGATGGAATGACACATCTCATGTGCCCGAATGTTATCTTGACAAAAAAAGAAACCGCCAAACCTACCACCGCGTAAAGGATTCGGAAAATTCTGCCTAGGAGCCGCTGCAATCGCTCCTCGGGATCCTGCAAAACAGCCCCCCAAGGCTCCCAACAGGCTCCCAACTTTGACAGTACCAGGCACACAAGTGTCCTCCTTGTGCAACACTTCCCATCTTGGCCACCTCCCATCTTCAGAGCATTTACCTCAGGTTTGACGGCCTTGGCCTTTGGCAGCCTCACACATGCAAACCTTGCAGACCGGCAGATGACGAATGCACCGTTTTGCCAAGGGCAGATGAAGCGACGAAGTGATTATGACTACGTAATGCAGCCGCGGTTCAAAGCGTGACAGTAAGGTCGGGAGTTGCGAAAGTCCAGCTTGAGTCAGACGGTTTTATCCTTCCATTCGCCGGGTGTAGAATAGTAGACTGGCACCAAAGCTAGTGTAAGGCATAAGGCACTTTTGAAGCCCGGCTCCGGTGTGCCAGCTCACCGTCGAAGAGCGTGTCTTCCCCGACAGCCACAAGAAGCCTCTGCTCCTCGCAAAACGAGCGCCAACATTGCAGATAATTGCAGCTTCATTTGGCTCTAGATGCTCCCTTCCGCTGAATGGAAGCTCTTACATGGCTAGCCTTTAGTCTCTGGCTCATAAATAACCTGAGCGGCGCAGCAAAAGCCACCCAGTCTACTCATCCTTCCTCACCAAGTGCTCGACCAAGGCAGGACGACGTGTAATGTCCATGCCTACACATTGAATCCCGCGTCCTGCTCTACATTTCTACCGATTCTAAGGCTTCATGACGTCCAGGAGGTGACATTACAAGAGCAGGCACGCAAGATCGAACAGCCTTCAACATTCGAGCTCTTAAACCCGCTAGAGACGGACCGTGCTGGCTCAGGAATATCCAGAGATGCTGACAATGCTGACACATCCGAAGAACGTGGAGCCTCTACGGGGGAAGGGTTCTACGTGTGCTCGCGGCCCGCATGATCTTGCCTGGAATCGAACCAGGATGTCCTTTGCCTTCCGGAGAGACGCCAGAACCCAATGTGCGTGGACTTCAGTTCTTTGATCTTCAAGGGTGAAGTCCTGGTCAGCTAGTTGGCTGTGCTCTGCACGGCGGGTACGCTTTGAAGTGGGGAACGCTTGCAACTCAAGGATACTCAAGGCAAACTAATGCAGGTCCATGTGTCCAAGACATCAGGATTTTTGGAAGCTTTTGCCTGTTGGGTGCTTTCGTCCGTCGGCACTTCGCAGGGGATGTCTCTTGGACAGGAAAGATCAAGCCTTAGTGTGGGCGCATGGGTGCAGCAAGCGGCTCAATGCGGCTCAGCCTCCCTTACTCCAATCCACACTGCATCGAGGAGCCCCAGCAATAGCAATGCCTCCTTAGCTCGTCCGTCGTTGGGCTGCTGCGCCAGTAGCGCCTGCAGTATGTCCGCGGCCTGCAGCAAAGGGACAACACGGCAGGCCAAGGACACCAAATCCATGCTCGACATGTCTTCTGCTGTCAGCCTCGTCTTTCTGGCCTAGGTGATGGAGGCAGCACGCCAACTCCAAATAGGCCTGCAAAGAGCTCTGCTCAGCCATGGTTCTTTGAGAAAGATTATGCCGAGCAATGACGGGCGGAACAGCGGCACCCTGCCATCGCCTGTGGCAAGCTTGGGCAAGTGGCCAGGGCTTGCCTTGCTGTCATAGAGGCATCAGCAAGCTTCCCAAGCTGCCGATGTGCTCCAGCCAGTTCCTGAAAGCATGGAACATAGCATGGGATACCACTAAGCAAGGATGCAAACGCACGGGGCCGGTCTCGGCAAGGGTCAGTCAATGCCCAGGCTGCTCTCCGCAAGTCTCCACCTCTTCCCAGTCGATTGACACATGTGGGCAGGATTCTTGCAGCTTCGGCTGGACCACCGTAGTTTCCAAGACGGGCCCAATGACCCCACCCAAGGTCCTCTTCCAGTTGGGTTGTCTTGACGCTGCACACAGTTGGAGCCGATTCCTTGCTGGCTGCTGGGAAGCAGTGCCAGTCGTTCGATGGCAACTGATTTGCCTCCAGTTGCCTGGTCCCAAAAAAGCCCACGTTCTTCTTGCCGACGATCCAGCCCGCACTCACATCACCTGCCTTGGTTGCTTGCACCTCCATGGATAGCTGAAACCCGAATCGGTTCTCGAAGACGGGAAATCCATTGGACACTTTCCTCGAAGGCTCGTAGACACCAGCACTTTCTGCCATGCTGGAGCCTTGCAACTCTACAGCCTCAATGCAAAAATCCATCACGCCCTCGTGCAGCATCTTCGGCGCTTCAGCTGCGCAAACACTGACCGGCCAGGCTTTCGGCAGCAACCCATCACATGGTTCTGCGAGCTCTTGCAGCAGTTCCTTGCACTCTCGCTGTAGCCTCCGTGTGTTGCTATCGGCCTTCCCGTTCGCGCTTTCGATCCTGAAAACTCATCAGGGCAACTAGCTTGACCCACCCCTGATCTTGCATGTCCTTTTCAACTAGTCTGGCTTTCAGCGCCTCTTGAAAGTCTATCGGACCGACCAAGATACTGTATCCAGCACTGCTTCACAGCCAAGGCTGCTGCACCCTCATTGCTCGCAGCATTGAGCAAGTGGGCCTTGAGCAGCAAGGCTTCCGGCAGGCTGTGCCGCAGTCGCAGCGCTGCCTCTACCTGATCAAAAACAGCGCTGGTGGTCGGATGGGAAAGCATGCCGATTCCTTTGATATCCCTGGTCTTCCGAGCCTCTGTTAAAGCTTGGTCTTCGCGGCTCAAGGTACGAAGCAATGCGGCCAGCTCGGTGTGAAGCAAGGCTCGCTGTGTCCTGTCTGCTCGCTCCTTCTCCACAGTCTGCAAAGACTGGCGAAAGGCCTGGTCAAGAAGCGGCTGTTTCAGAGCTCGGTAATACGGGATGCGCGTCTAACCGGTACGTACAAACTTGTGTAAATTTTGCCAGACGGGTCCTTGACTGCTAGTCTCTGATTTTCGATAGTCCCGGAAGCTGCTCGTCGACGAGCTTCCTGGGCATAGCCTTCCGCTGTCGCATCGGCACTTGTTACCCATCGCAAGGTCGGTGCAGGTGCATCGCCCTCGAAAGGCTGCCATCCATGTAAAGGTAGCTCTTCCTTGGTATCCGTCGGGCAGCCATAAGCTGGCACACCTGACCTTCCAAGAATCCATCCCCACTGCAGCTTGCCCGTGTCAGCAGCTGGGCCCTGGCACACGGTCAAGCTGAAATCGCTCAGGTTGCCGTATACTGGACAACCCTCACAGAGAAAGCCCTCTTGAAGCTCATAAACTCCATTTACATCGTCGCAACCAGCACCAGCCACAACCAGATGCGACAGCGCATCTGGCATCTCTGGCTCCACGGGGCGTGCACATTACAGACAACCTCCGCCGTGTCAACTCTAGGCCGTCTACGATGCAAACGAAGCTTTGCTACCTCTCGTCACCTAGCAAACCCGAGCACCGCTGAACATCAGACGTGTCTGCACTGTTTCCTGCGAGCTGTCTTGAGCTGGCCATCGAAAACTTGCAGGGGCTTCCCACGCCAAAACTGGCGAGCTGCACCACTCGTCGGCGGCGGGGCATAGTGAGCAGAGCTTGCCACAGCGCTGAAACCGGAAACTAGCGATTCGGTGGAATCCTGAAAGCTCTTGCGGGACTCTTGCTGCTCGACAGCCTCGGACAGCAACTGCCAGTAGCAATTAACTCCATAAAACACGCCTGCTCAGGCCGAAGAATCGACAACATGTAAGCAAAGGACATACCACACACCTCCGAAGAGGCTGAAGATGATACCGGCCATGACGAGCGGAGCCTGCAATCGTCTTCCTTCTAACATGGGACACTGGAAAGCCCTCCGGCATTTGCAAAAGCATGTTTAGGGTCAAGATCTTGCGTGCTCTTGGTACAGGCCCAAGCAGGCTCAATTTGCAGAAGCCCGCCTGTAGGACTGGATCTGAAAAGAATACGATGCCCTAGCAAGGCAAGCTCCAGTAGGATGTTTGGCCGACGGTGCTGCAAATATCAGCGAATCCCATCATGCCTCGAACACCACGATGAAGTTCGAAAGATTGCTAAAAACGAGGGTGGACCTTGGCAACACGCTGCCATCCAGCCTTGAGCTCGTGTCCAAACTGTCTGTGGCGAAAGGTAAAGTCGCTGACGTGGCCGACGTAGCCTTCAGCAGATAGAGGACTGCCTGAGCTCGGCTTGCTTAGCTACACAAATGATGTCTGAGTTGTGAGCACACCTACCAAACTCTGGATTCTCAAAGCCCCGAAGCTCAAGCGCGAGCCAAGTGATTGCCCACGAAGGCGAAGACGGACAAGGCCAGCATCAGCCTGGCGATGGCCATGCTGGCAAACGTGTGCTTGCTCTCCTCCACGGAACATATGACAACTGAGGTCTGGACATGATTGACGGATTGTGAAGCCAGACATTCCAGGCTTCCAGAAAACTCGGCATGCCGGAGGCAACATGCTGATGCAAGCAGGTCCGCAACACATCGACCAGGACATCAGGCCATGGAGATGTCGACACATAAACACACACACACACAGAGACAGAGGGCAAAAAGTCTACTCAATATACTTCTTGCATCCGCCTACGGCACGAATTTTGCAGAAGCTTTTGCTCGCCGAGGTTGCTGGCATAGGCTCGCGCAGGGTTCTACTCAAGGGCTCTGATGCGTTCGGTCATGGCTGGTGGGAGAACAGCACAGTCGGCACGGAATCTAAACCGTTCCGTGATAGCCCTGACAGTTCTGAGAGGGTATTTAATTTAATCTCGCCTGGCCCGGCAATGGGTTTAGCCTGGTTTGGGCAATACCCTTGCGGCTAGTTTCAATAGTTTCGAGTCAAGCCTGGCGCCCGAAATTCAGATTATTGTCTTTTCTGGGTCTGGATACGATAAACGAAACAATTCATTGATACGACTGGCGCATTCCACATTTCGGAAGATACGATGCTGATCCGGTATACCGATCGTATCCCCAGATCGTATCCATATCGTATTGAAATGATATCAGAAAATTCTGAAGGAGGAACTCGTACCCATATAACTAGAAACACTTGGGGCTAGCTATCCTTCAGTTGCCATGGCGTAGACATAGTGAATGTGCAAGCTGCAGGCATGACATGCCCCAAAGATGCACCTGCCAACATGCAGGCTACCTTCCAGATCCCTGCCCCGATCAACCGCATTCCGCCAACCCTACAAACCGGCATTTGTCTCGACCCTGCACTGAAGCACACAAGCAAAAGAAAACAACAAAAAACACAAGCAACAACTTGAAAGACTGAATGTCAAAGTTCAAAACAAGCCGGCAAAGAACGAAGCAGCCACACCGCAGAACTGCACTCAACCACTACTGGCACTGGGTCCGTCACAATCGCTCGTTGACGGTGGTGAGGACTCCGGCCGGCAGAGTGAGGAGTAAACCATCGAATGCGCACAGCAGGGTCGCGGGCGCCTGTGCCGGTCGGATTCAATTTCAATAAGCTTCTCTACCCCCGAAAGTCCTCTTTGCATTCGGCCAGGAGCATCCGCTGGAGGAGCCTATATGGCAGAACAACAGCCTCCAGGCAACGTGCTTGACGAGTTGTCGCCAAATCCTAGGGAGAGGCTATGATTAGAAGCCGACAGCTGAGGGCTCCGCCACGAGAAGTCCAGCTGCTCGCGCCCCATTTGCAGAGAATTCCGGATATTGCAGACTAAACCTCATGTTCAACAGCCGCCGGCTTAGCAAGCAAGTCGACACTTCTGGAATGAGGTGCGGGCAGGAGGGCCCCAAAGGCCATGGTGATCAGTGACATCTTGGATGAGAACGTCCTGGCATTTGCATGCCACAGAGCCAAGGGACATACCGTGTCGCCTGCAAGTTCGCCACGCCCACACATTGAAGCCTCTGGAGATGTTCGACCTGTGCACCACGAAAAGTATCGATCTCCTCGTCCTCCCGTGGGGTTTATTATCGGAATTGCGGGTTGCAATAAACGATAACAAACGTGATTACACATGTCGCGGGTCTTATTAGCTGTAGCTGAGGCGGCGGCGGGAGCACGAGGGGCTCGATGAACAAAGCGAAGAGCGGGCACAGGTTCAGAAAAATCGTCCGCTCGGACAAGGAGCCTTAAGAAACAGCTTCACCAGCTAAAGAATTCGCTGGGCCACCATCACAGAAGTCGACCGCTTACTTACGATCATGTGGGACCCATGAGCAGGGACTTGAAGGCAGTGTAAGCATGTCCACCAAGGAGGAAACGTTGATAATGGATTCATGCTTGCAGCCTCTGGGTGGGATTCCTCCCCTCCACGATTCAGTTTCGATAAATTATAGACGCCCAACACTGGCAGTACAACAGAGCAAAACGCGCGTGCCCATCCGTCCACCGATTTCTGGATCCTAGCCTCTAGCCTGCGGTGCTTCATGAGGCGGCCGCAATACAACGACACCTCATGGTTGATGAGCTGGTATGCCACGAACCTGAATGGCATTGCGATGTACAGGTTTGGATTACTTCAGGTGCTCAGAAGAATCCTTCGGAAATTCATCAAGGGGAGCTTGACTCCATGGTGATCTGCCAAGCTTCTGACCACAAGGCTGCTGGCCTGGTGAGGGGAAAATGCAACTTCACAAAAAGCTGAGGGGCTGCCCTGACTGCAACATTGGGGCTGCCACGTCCATCTAAGGAGCGGGTAAGACAATGAGCCACAAGACCTCAGACTCGAAAAAATGCAGCCACCTGCTATGAGCCTTTTGGATCTTTCGGCACAAAGCCAACTAACTCGTTTCCTGCGGGAAAGTGAGGCGAGAGCAGTGGGTACAATGAAAGCTCAGAAGGTACTTTCGAGCTTTGATCCTGCATGCAGCATCTAGGGCTCATCATGGTTCATCAATGCAGTGTGAAGGGGCTTCAAAGAAATCCTGGCTTGTGTGCATTGCAGCAAGCAGCAAACCCCGAAGATAGCTCTTTTTCTGTCAAGCATTGGCATCTTCGCAGCATGTCTCCGGACGAATCCAAGGTCAGGCGGCCATCGGAGGACTCCCCACCTAAAAGCTGTGTCAGTGCTCACGTGCAAGTAAAATGGCAACTCTCGCACGGATATCCGTGCACAGGCGCAAGTGAAGCCGCAGCTTACGAAACGATTCTCAGTCACAGCTACTCTAAGCGTCTAAGCTCCCGACTCAGCCACACCTCCCGGTCTGAATCTGTGTCGTTGTCCTGGGCTGGGTGCATAGACTACGGTTTGACGGTGTGCAGACGAAACCACGTTGAACAGCCACAGCTGCTGTGAAGGGCTGTTGACTGTTGTAGTTCCACGACTTGGTCTCTGCACGGCAAGTCTCCAAAGATACTCGTACCAACACGGGTCCATCAGGCTCGCTGCACGGCCCGACGCGATGCTGCAACAGAAGCTGCAATGCGTCCTCCTCGAGAAGCGCCGATGCAATTTCAGTAAAACAGCACGCATCTCGGTCACAACAAAGCCATACTTACATTTTGTTGTTGTGCATGCTTGTTTCTTGAAGCTTTCGCAGCTTGGAGATGATCGGCCAAGGCAGGGCGGCCCTTCGATTTTGTTGGCCTCTGCTGCCTCTGCTTCTTTGTCCGATACTTTCGTTGCTGCTGGGTAGTTCGGACATGTTCGGACACCCTCTGATACCCGCGCTCGGACAACAGTTAGAGAGCCCGAAAGCTGCTGGCCTCTTTGGGGTGCCTCTTTCGTGCCACCGTTGAAACACACAGGCTCTTCTTGGAGGTCGTTTACAAATTCGAGGTGTGTTTCCTTTAAAGAACATACTTCACCAGAAACTGACCAAAGACAGCGTTTTAGGTACATTGCGAGGGCTAAGCAGTCAGCTGTTCACTCGGGGCTCTCTTTCTGAAAAACCACCCATAACATCAAAACACTCAGCAAAAAGAATGCAGACAAGCAAGCCTCAGCTGAGCCCAGCCGTGCTATGTCAATTGAACCACGGAAACCATAATTCGACGATGCCTGACAACATTTGACAAAGTTTCGCAATGCAATGAAACATGTTTAGATTTTGTAGGCTCCGCAGTGCTAACACTGAATATTATCAATAGTTGCCCCTCCCCTCCCCAGGCAACTCCTCGGGGTACACCTTTCTCCTTGTGGCCAACATGGCCAGGCACTCGGCGCCTTCTGGACAAATCTTCCACTTGAAGGGCACCCCTTCAGCTGAGGCTGCCATCCTTGGAACGCCACTGCCGATGGTACTTAAGCTATGAATCTCTCCGATCTAAGTCCAGGCGGCTTGTGCAAGATCGGCGTTCCAGCATGTAGAATGGCCTGATGCTGATGGCCACAGTCCATGAGGATTCTCATGAGAATGTCTCCTCGACATGAAACGTCACCCAGGTTTCTTAGCTACCGCAACAGGTAGCGTTCCGCTCGATCTCCCAGTGCTGGCGGGATGCCAGATCTGCAGAGGGCTCACTCAGTGCTAGAAGTCGCTCGCCAATGAAACTGACAACATCCTCGGCAATCTCCAAACTCTCGCAAATTCTGGAGGCATGAACCAACCGACAAGGTGGCCCTCTAATGCTTCAGGCGAAAGCTCTTTCGGAAATGACACCAACTGGTGTAATTGGTGTCCGCATAAGCCGAAGAAGTCCACCACTTCCTGTGACAGTGAAGAGGATAGTACTGGCACTGATATAGCCATAGTAATGACAGAACAACGCCAACAACAGCAACAGCATTTATGGTAATCGTTGTTCGTTCCGGCAGTTGATCGCTACCCAGAATATACAGCACTGGTAGTGGTGATTGCATGTACACACACTCCGAGTCCTTGAAGGCAGGGTCGTCCAACTCAAATCGAGGGAAGAGTGGCTGCAAAGCTCTTCCTCTGCGCAGCGCGACATGGGCAGGGATTGCTCTACAATCCAAGAACCGGCGGACTGCGCAGAAGGCAAAGCATGAGCCTAGCGGTGTTGGTCATCCAAACGAAGGCTTAGGTTAGACAGCACCGCCTTGCGAACAATTACAGCGAGACTGGTCGATCTTCTGGTTATTCACACAGACTGCCTGGCTGCTGAATCGCCGATGCATGCGTCAAATGTGCTTGAGTCCTTACAGCACAAAAAAGTCAGCGATGCTCTCTCGTCGTTCTTCTCAATACCATGTGACAGAAATCAACCTAAACTTCAGTGCCAACTGCGGCTGGCGGAGCTCCTCCAGCGTGAAGACCGCCAAGAAAAAGCCCCCGAAATGGGGCCCATGAATGGGCAGGAATCGGGCGCAGTGATGCAGCGACGACTCCATGGATCGCTCTGCAGACAAGGGGAACATCGTGTCCAACAGGCTGGGCACATCTGCTCCGCATGCGTACTCTTCCGTAGATTGGTAAGAGCGCTCTGTGGAATTAAAACTGGGGTCTGGGACCCGCCATGTGCTCAAACCAGGCAGTCCTCTGGGACACCCTTCCGGCAGAACCGCTTCTGCAGGCAAGAGGTGCACTCCCGGGGCATTCTCAATCAAAGCTGCTTGCACCACCGCTTCGCACTCCAGCGGGTTTAGTGAGCATGTCGAATATACTAGTCTTCCGCCAGGTCTGAGCAAAGAGAGGCCCCTGCGCAAAAGGCGCAGCTGCAGCTCGTGGTGGCTCAACCCAGACCCCACACTCCAGCGCTGTAGCCGCTTCGGCTCCTTGCGAATTGTCCCGTCTGAGCTGCAGGGAGCATCCACTAAGATGCGATCGAAAGCGCGCGGGCCAAGCAAGTCGGGAAAACAAGTCCCATCCATATTCGTAACGAGCAAGGGGGTACACCGCTGAGCCTTTGCTCTAGACCAGGTTCGCTCGGATCTTTCCGTGCGGACGTCGTTGGCAACAAGAAGACTCCAGTCTTCGCTTGCATGGGCTGGTCTCAAAAAGTCTAGCAGTTGGCAGGCCTTGCTTCCAGGAGCACTGCACAGATCCAAGACTGCATCACCTGGCTGTGGATCGAGTGCGACCACAGGCAGCATGGAGAGCCCATCTTGGACCACCACCTCCCCTGTGGAAGCCAAGGTGTTTACAAGCTCCAGACCAGCTGCAGCTTCGTCGGGATTTGTGGTGGGTACAACATGCAAAGCACCACCAGACTCGTCCATCCAGGGAACGAATTCCGCCCTTTGACCCAGCTTCTCGGTCAATGCAGAGAGCGTTTCTGCATGCAACGGGGATCGGTTCAAGCGCAGGCTAAGAGGCACAGGACGTCCGAATAGTGTCTCGCATTGTTCCCAGTCTCCCGAGCCGATGGCCAGCTGTAAATCCCTGTAGTACAACCGAAATTTAGCCAATCCTCCCTCAGTTGCCTGCTTCACACGCTCCACTTCGACAGGATCGCACACGAGCTGCATTCTGGGAGCGCCACGCTTCGTCCCAGCACAAGCGATGTTAGAATCATCTGGGCGTGATGTCGCGCCACAGTCAGTCCGCAACATCACAACTTCTCCGCTAAGCACAACGCGACGACCTGCAGCCACCTGGCCATTGACCAAGACTCTGCCATCTTGACATGCAGCAGCTGCTTCCTGGCGAACGTTTACATGCATGGCACCTCCCCTGCGCCCGAGTACCTCGCGAAAATGCTGCGCGACAAACCTCTGCAGCCGGCATCCGCAATGAGTTTCGGCAACAACCACGCACAGCCCGTTGGTTGTCTCGTACTGCATGCTTGCATCCCGTCAAACCAAAGGATGCCCACAGCCCATCGCCGGCATACTTTGCCCGCGGTCCATGTCTAGTTATAGTGCGACTAGAGTTATGTAGTGTAACCTAGTCTCACCGTGCGGGGTCTAGCTTTTGCTGCTGCACGGTGCATGCCTTTCGCATCTTGCTGCCACTATGACAGCTTGAGACTGCCGGAGGCAAGCACCACTCTCATGCCACAGCGCTCATGTAAATGCATGCTATACAACATGTATAAGCTCCTGTCATCTCTATATCTATCTATCTCTCTCTCCTCTCTCTTTCTCTCTCTCTCTCTCTATGTATCTCTCTATATATACATATATACTATCTATGTATACTCTATATATGCCTTCTGATACTACTAAACTGAAAGAAAGATAGGATACCAGGATACCATAGATCCCACTCAGGTTCCCGCAGCCTGGGCCTGGCTGACTCGCCCAGCGAAGCTGGCGTAAACCTGCGAATAGGGCAGCGAAAGAGAGAGAGTGCTTTGGCCGCAGAACGTATTGGAGGGCTTTCAAGGGTTTGAAGGGGTTTTTGGGTGGTTTAAAGGGTTTTAGGGGCTGTTGGGGGTTTGAGGGCTTGAAGCTTACGGTTTAGGGTTTAGGCGGCTTAGGGGGGTTTCGGAGATCACAACTCGGACAATCCCGGCGAGGCAAAGGTCGGAACCGAGGAGACAAATGCTGGCACATTCTTTTTGTTCGAAGCTTTTTCTGCATGTTTGGCTGTGCGAAACAGGCTTCAGCAGAAAAGGGGCCCGAGGATCTCACCCCTCAAATCTCCTCTGATGTGCTCTGAGAGGGCCAAAGCCTTCAGCTGCTGCGCTTCTTTTTGCTGGGATCGTCATCACAGGATCTCCAGGTCACAAATTAATTGCTCTCTCTTGGAATGAGTCCACTTTTGACGCAGAGGTTTCGTCAGTGTGCGCAGAACGACAGCAAGATGTCTTGCCCACCGCGTTGCCTTTATGAAGCTCTCTCGGCGTCAAAGCCGCATCGTCCGGCATTTCCAGGGCGGTGGGCAGCACCATGCAGCACCGTTGCGCTCGTCCAGCGGCTGCCACTTGCACGGACTGCAGGTAACAGATGATGACGCGGTTGCCAGTAGGCGCGGCGTGAGCCAGCTTCAGCCAAAACATTGGAGGCTTTGCCTCCACCCGCNNCGGCCAAGTGACGGTCGTCTTCTTCTTCTGAGACCCTGTCGAAGATCCCACGTGTGCCGTGCCTGGCCCTTTGGAGGATCCCTCAAAACCCGTGGGTGCCAACTTGGCCGTCATGGCGGCAACCGTGCCAGTGGCGCCGGGCGACTGGCACGGTTGCCGCCATGACGGCCAGGGGCCGATGGTTGATGAGCCGCCAAAGCCGCATCGCCCGGCATCTCCAGGGCGGTGGGCAGCACCATGCAGCACCGTTGCGCTCGTCCAGCGGCTGCCACTTGCTCGGACTGCAGGTAACAGATGATGACGCGGTTGTCAGTAGGCGCGGCGTGAGCCAGCTTCAGCCAAAATGGCTAGAGCATGCTACAGTTTAGCATTTAGAGGGTTTCGACTTCGACTTGCACACTCGCAGACAGCACGGCTTCCGACGGGTCTCAGACTGCCACAGGAACATATGCTCCCGAACGCAGGAACTAACAGCAACGCATCAACAGGACCCGGACGAATCAGTATGTATGGACCCAAGAATCTAGGGTTTAGGGCGGATAAAGAAGTGCTTTGTACATCCAACCTCAATGCGAGCATGTAAAGAGGCTCTTTCTGAGGCGATGGCCTGACATCCTAGCGTCCAGAGAGCAGTAATGACCTGATTGTACCGCCAGAATAATGAAGCAAGGAGCAGCTCCTTGAGCAATGAGACTCTCTCAAGCTGGGGCATCCGACAAAACAGAATCCTGCTTGTATCGTTGTCAAGGCCATGGGAGCGGCTGTCAGAGTCGACCTTCGCAGCTTTAATGCCGGATTGGACTCCGCACTTTTGACACGACCTCTCACTCGATGCAATCTGTTGCTCGTTCTCGACATGGCCACGGCAGACCAGGACGTAGATAAGATGATTAGCTGATTAGCTTGGACATCTTGCAAGCCACACCCGCACGCGCCGACACACCTACCTGCACTCTTGTCAAACCACACAGGCACCCACAGGGACTGGTTCACCAAGTCCGAGCCGACAGTGAAAGCACCTCGTCAAACGAGGAGCAAATAATTCCATCACCAGCGGCCTTCTGACTTGAACTTTCCAGAGGATGACTCCGACGTCGATTTCAATTTCTGTAAGTGTGGGGCAGAGCGTGAAGGGCACCAGGATCAAGTAGTGTTTCTCTTGGTATCCTGCGACAATATGCGTAGCAGGTCACACCATGAAACTCGCCACAAGTTGAACTCGGCAAGCTGTGCTAGCTAGACAGACGCGACTGCGCCAGCTAATCGCCAACCACCAAGCCCTCTGCCATAGTGCGCAAAGTATGCCCAAGCCATTGCCAGTGGAACGTACCTAACTTAGGGTCAGGAAGACTCGTGCAAGCAGACTCTAGACTCCAGCTGATACTGATACCACGAGCCACTGAGGTCGTGGCAACAAAAGGTAAACTGAGACGATGATTTCTGGTGTGGCCTGCTACGACTTTCTCAGCAATTTCGCACGAGCAGCTCGCCTGCTCCCCTCAAAGCAAGCTCGGAGCAGCGCGATCTCAACATCAACCGCGGTTGCAAAGGTGTTATGAGGCTGCACAGGGACCATCTTCGTTCTCACCTGCACTGCTCAGACATACAGAAACCCGCAAGCTCAGGGAACCAGGACTGACCAACACTGAGCCACCGAGTGTAGTGCCTTTGCGAAGGGTGAGTTCTCCGACGAAATGTTCACACCCCTTAGATCCGCTGCTACAAAACCTGCGGGGACCACAATAATTCTGAGAACCAGGCTTCTTGGTTGGGAACCTGACATGCAAAGGCGATCTTAAACACACCCGCCTGGACCCAAGTAGCACAATGCGAGCTGCCCCTGCTTATACTTATGATTACTTTCCGGCCTAAGGCAAATGATGTTCCAAAACAAGAAAAAGGAATAATCCGAAGAAGCATACGCGCCAGAATGCATAAGCAAAAAACACAAGCCCACGGACGGATATGCTTAAATTATGCTTTTTACACCATGAAAAGCAAAAAAAATGCGTAAGCAGGTCCACAGCGCAAGAGCATAAGCAGCAGCATAAGTTTAGCGCAAGCGGGGTGAAAAGCAGAGGCAGAAGCATCATTTTAGCCTGCGCGCGGTGGCCAAGCATGAAATAAGTATCATATGTTAGCATCAGCGCCCATGGCCCATGGAGGCACCGGCCCGCCCAGCCCCAACCACGCCACTCCGCCCTGCAACAGCAACAACACCAGCGCCACCACCAACAACAACTACTGCAATGCTTTTCCTCTTTTTCTTTCGCCTCTGCCTTTCTTTGTCCGGTGTACCTCTGCTCACTTGGCTCTGCGCTGTTCTGCTTATGGCTCCACGCTCATGCTTTCGTTTGCAAGGCTGTCTCCTGAGGTTTTTTTGCGTGCTGATGTTGCTTTTTTTACTAAATTTGCGCTTAAGTTGTTTTGCTTGTGTTTTTCTGTGCTTATGCTTTGTTGTTTATGATTTGTTGCTTATGATTGCTTTGCTTATGATATTGTTGCTTATGCGTTTTCGTCTACGTTGTTTGTGCTTGTGCTGTCTCGCTTATGAGTTTTGTGTGCTTGTGCTTATTGCTTATGTGTCTAGTGCTTATGTGTGTTTACGTATGCTTTTTTCGTGCATATGCTTTCTTGCTTATTTTTTGCTTGTGGTTTCGGCGCGTATGCTCTGTTGCCTGCCTATGCTTTTGTGGTCTGGGCCCCTAGGCCAGAAAGAAGTCATAAGGTTACACACTCTGTCGTAGCACCGGGCGAGAAACAGAACGTGCTGAGCTCCAGGCATCGTCAACGAGGAGGCCCGGGTAAACATTAATTTCTGAGCCTGCCAGCGCATCACAAAGATGAACTCGTGTGATCCAGCATCAGAGTTTGTGCAACTGCAGCACTAGAGCGCTGGCTGGACTTCTCGACCAGCTCTTGGAACTGTACCAGTATACATAGTATCTTCCACTAGCTTACAAGCTTGCAGCAAGCTAGGCGGCTGGGCGCAGAAGGTGCCTGGCCTCGTATTCCTTCAGCTGCTCTGCATTCTCCTGTTCTGCGTCCTCCAAACAAGACTGTGCACCGAAGCACAAGCTGTAGCAAAAAAACATGCGGAGCCAAAGGGAGCCTTTTCCGGTGCAGTTGATGCCAAGCAGGCGCAGAAGCGAGTTGCAGTGTCTGAGAGAGGCTTGATCACCAGGCAGCTCGAGGCTTCAAAACCCGTTTTCTTGGAGACTGGAACTCGCTCAAACCCGGCGGAACTCCAGAAGTTCAACAGCCGCGGGTTGCTGTTGAAGATGGCACCCAGCACATCAGCTCGGCCATCGCCACGAGCCGACAGGTCTCTGATGATTCCACCCAACAGCTTGTGACCAAGACCCTTTCCCTGCACCTCAGGATGCACCGCCAAGCGCGCTACACGCAAGAATGTTGGGCTGATGCACGTTTTTTGTTCATGCATTTGCCCAGATGGAAGGAGAGCTTCGGCCAGCAAATCGTGCCTTCGAAGCCCGCCCCGCTGTTCGTGCAGTAGAAGCGCACATGCCAGCAGTCTGCGGTGACCGCCGCACGGTGTCCAAATCGCGAAAAGCTCCATCCGAGTTTCGTCCAGAAGCAGTCTCAAATCTGCCGGACGAGTCCGGTAATGGGCAACTGCAAGCAACCCATACACTTCTCGGATGATCCCTTCGCTGCTTATCAGGCTTTGACGACGGATCCGCTCAATTTCAACATCTGTTTCCGCGTCAACAGTGGGCAAAGGCAACGGCTCGGGATCAAGCAGAAGCGCATCCGCCACCAGCTTTTCAACGGGGTCGCCCGAAGGCCATCGGATTGGAGTCTCCATCTTCAAGCGCGCCAAAGGCATTCCCTTCCATTCTGCCCGCTCTAGAGCACGCAGCAGTCCATGGCCCGTGCCTTCGTATCCATGTACCGTCCCAGCTACGACAACACCCAAGTTGCGCATAGCTTGCACAGATTCGAAGAAGCATTCCAGTGCTGCCGTTGGCTGTGCAGCAGCCTCATCGACCATCACCAGGTCAATCTCTCCCAAGCACAGATCCAAACTTGTCTCCAATCGGATTGTCCGAAGATCAGTTGGTTCTGCAGAGGGAGGTATTGCTTGAAGTGTGCAGCTCAGGTCATGGGAGTCTTCTGATACCTCCTTGTCGGCCAATACTGCCCATTTCAGTAGTGTCAGGCCTTCCCGAGCCCAAAAGAAAACCTCGGCGACAGACCTCTCCGTTTTAGCTACCACCTCAGCCGGCCGCCAACCAATGATAAGTCAGTGCGGTGAAAACTCCCTCTGCTCTAATTCGCAAGCCCTAGGACCCAAGCACGGAAACGCATGCCCAACTACATCATATAATTTAACTACATCAGCACTGGCTTAGCGGCAAGGAAGGGGCGACTCTCGTGGTTCTTGGCCGCCCGGTGAGCCCTCAACAAAACACATGCTTCAAAGAAGGAGCGGTGCCCCTGCATGTTCAAATCGAGTCGAGGCGCTCATCGTCTAAATCATACAAGTGGTGCAATTCAAGAAGGTTACGAACCCGTCCAGGCTAGAGGCCGGGCTAATGCTGCCTCAACATGGACACAGCCTTGCCAAACAAAAAAGCCCAAAAGCTTGCCTGTACAGGCTGAGCCTCAACGATTGTGCGCATCTGCGCCAGAAGAGCCGCTGCTGCAATACCCAGCGCGCTGCTCTTCCCCCTGCCGCGTGGTGCTAGCAGGGCCAGCAGTGAGCCTGCGAAAAAAGACGATTCAAAGGAACGAGGCAGGCGGTATCGGTATGCGTGCTGTATGGTGAGGCCAGTTGCAAGAAGTATTCCGCTGAGGGGGACGATCAGCTGAGTTGGCATCCGCTCCAGCATGGTTACTTGCGTTCAGCTCAACGGCATCCAGCAACTTAAGACTCCGTGTGCATTTGGTAACCTTTGGAGAGCTAGCCATCGTTGCTAAAGGGGCTAAACATGGCCATGCCTTGTGTCGCAGCTGCAGCGATGGCCTTTGCTCCAAGGGCGGGGAAGGTTTCGCTCAACTACACTGTGGGGTGCCCGGCTCAAAAACCCTTTGTACTATGAGTACTATGTGCTGCCAGCATGCCTCGACAGCGGCAGCTTGCTCCGCAGTCTTGCAGAGACTGAGAACGCTGGAGAGGGGACCGGCTGCATCGACAGGCGATGAGGTAACATCACATGAACCGGGGCCTTGGTCAGGCTGATGCTTGCGACTGCCGCAGTCGTCCATAGACCCAGGAGCACTCGGCACGTGTTTGTGTGCGCCGCTCACGTGGTCCAAGTGAGTGTGTGGACAATCCTGAAGTATCTTACCAAACCGGATGTCGAACGGCGTTCTCCAGAAAAGCTTCCTGCTTGGACAATGCTCACCGACTATCTTTGGTACGGATCTGCGTGGCCCATGATGAACTTCGGCGTTTTCCGTCATAACCAAAACAAGTAAACCACCTCCAACAACCAAGCCTGACAAAGCCCCAAGAGCGTCGGCTTGAAGGTGGGGAATGCACACCAGAACACACACCTCGCACTGGGTGCCCAAGATATTGTCGGCATTTTTGATGTCTACCCAGTGCCACTGCGGCGCATCTTGGTCCATCTTTGGTGGCCCTTGTGATTTCTTATCAAAGCTTGCCCAAATCCACCGCGAGGGAGATGCAATTTGCGGGAACATGTTGTTGCTGCTCTTTGTTCGCAGACTCTGCGACACCTCTGCCGCGACTTGCAGGGCCCACTCTCCTCTCTTTGCAGACACAATGAGGAGCTTGCGAGGGGAAGATCTGCTTATGCTAGCGGAGGGCAGCTCGTCACTTTCAACCACCACTTCAGAATTCAGAACAATCCCATGCTTGCGCAACACACCCTGGTAGGGTGCCAAGCTCGAAGAATCCACATTCTCTATCAGAAAGGCGTGGTTGGAGCTGTGTCTGTTTAGCATTGGATTCTTGGAAAGTTCGGCGGCCTTGCAGTGCTCCAGCCACTTCTCTCTCAGATCCGGATCCTTTTGTATGGCCTTAATGATGGTGGATAACTCCGCCTTCTGCTGCAGGCGGGCGGCAGCTTCAAGGTCGCGGAAGCCACCACATCGGGGGCACTGCCGAATGTGCCTTCGGAATACCAGATTTTCACAAGTGCCGCAAAGCCACTCGCACTTCGGCCAGCAAGCAGCTGAAAGACCCTGCGTCAGGACTGCTGGGCCCACGAAGTCTGCGGTGCCGTCACGTTTCAAATGCGCTCGAATCTCTACATGATCTGTACCCGGCATGGGGTCCACAACTTCTAAAGATCGGACGTCAAAACCCAACTTCTGCAGCTTGGGCAAGTCCTGTTGAGATGACAGACGCCCAGCTGAGATGTACAGTACCTCTCGAACCTGACTGTGTGAGATGTAGCTGTAGAAATCCTCCCCCAAACCGGCAGACCGTGAAGATGACGCTATGAGAGCATGGGGTGCACTGCCGTGCTCGATAAGATGCTGAAGGTCATGGACCCCACCCTTGTGCACAGACACAGGCGCCGAATTGCGAGAACAGTTCTCCCGGGCAGCTTCTACCAGCTTGTCATTCTCCCCCATTGCAACCAGTGTGAGGTGGGACTGCAGGAGATGGCCAAGTGCAGCTGTACGGTACCCCCATCCACACTGCAGCTCCACCAATAAAATGCCAGGCGCCTCCAATCTTTCCCTCATTCCGCGTGCATGATGCAGGAGAAACTCCACAGTACCAGCAGCAGACTCTGCATTTGCTGGAGCTGGGAAGTCACCCCCTGGCCGCCGATACTCGAAGCGACGGCCGGCGATCACCAAAGAATCATTGAAGGTAAGCTCCTGATCAGAGCGGTTCGAAGCGTACAGATTAAACATTGCCAACGTGATTTCGCTGCCAATGTGTACCAATGCTTCGCTGGCATTACTTGGAACCTCTTGTCGACAAGTAAGTGGGCACTGCAAACCTAACGTCCAAACCTTCCAAGCTCCTCTCCACAACGCCGCCGATGGCCCCGGCTGCGGGCCTCCATGCTGCTGACACCAGCTGCACAGCGCACGATCTCCGCTTCCTTGTCCCAGCGACCGGCCGCAAGTGGCCGGTCGTAGGTCATCAGCACCTCCAAATGACCTGTAGCTGAGGTATGCAGTAGAATGCGAAGATCTGCCTATCTCGATGCCTCGTTGTAAATCGAGTCGAATCGAAAGCTGCTGCTGTAGATGTCAAGGAACTAGCATCCCAAGCGGAAAGGAATCTGCATGTCTTCAGCCCAGCCCGAACCTCGGAGCAAGACATCCTGCCATACAGGGCACGTCGCTGCACACTCGTCACTCACATCACTCTAACATCAGTCTGCTTGGTAGCATACCAAGGCGCTGTCTCAGACCCCTCCAAAGCTGTCAGAAAAGGCTCCATGCATAGCTGAATGCGTGGTACCGCAGCAGGGAAACAAGGCTCACGTAAAGGCACTGCTTGGAAATTTTCGCGGATCGCATAGGCTAGCCTGTGGGTTCCTTCCCGGATGACCTCAACGATCTGAAATCCACAGGCACAGTTGTATCCAGTAGTTCGCTGTGCTGGGGTCAGGATGTGCGGAAGGGCCGCGACAGCAGGACACGCTTCCAGAAGCTCCGCTAATGCCACCCTTGCTCGAATTCCAGCGATTCAAGCAACTCTATTTTACTGGTTGGATCCTTCCCTGATGCTGCAAAGCAGGCCCGTACTACTTTAGGTGAACAGCTGCAACTGCCCAATGACGCCACGCATCTCGAGCTTCTGCAGGCGGGATCCGCTGGACATCTTCGCCAGGGCAACATGTGCTTTTTCCACAGAGAGAACGCTTCAGCGCGGCTTCATGACAAGCATGTGTGCTCTTAGCTTTCTTCTCTGCTCCACATGGCACAATTTTTGGGACTCCTCGAATCTTGCTTTGACTTGGTGGCGGAACGTGCCCGTAGGTGCTGTACGCATTCTCAGATTCGATGTGAAGATGCTTCAGCAATAGTAGAGGCGGAGTGGCTGGGAAAAAGCATGTCTTGATTCGATTGGGAACGTATGGCGATGGTGGCCTCAGCAAGCACCTGCATGATCTGGTACTCTATCCACAACACCAGAACAAAATCCACATGCTTGCTGCTCTCAAAGGGAACGCTCCAGCCTCATCCGAGGGACTCAGCCACTTCCAGCCATGCCGATGGACTTCACCTTGCCTGCAGGCTTGCAAACATAAGGGTGTCATGTCTCGCACATGCGACGAAACTGGACCATCCACCGGAAGGAGGCATTGTCAGTTGACGCCTGATGGTGCTCACTGTCCGTTCACTCACGTAGACACTCTACTAACCGGCAGGCCAAGGTGGAATCCGCCGATGTGATCGGCAGATGCATGATTTGCCGTCAATTCAGAATGGAGAAATCCCTTACATTTTGGCCAGGCTGTGTCTCCACAGGTCATCACTCACAGACTCAAGGGCGGTCTAGAGTCTAGAGAAAATAACTTCACCGGACGTCAACAGCAAGTTCCTGATCTTTCTCCTACTAGCACAAACTCTTCTATCGCATCACCCGCCGTTCATGCAATGTCCTTCCGTCGCTACCACTACTGCAACATCTACTATACTGCGTCATCTTACTCTACCTTCTCCTATACATTGCATTCACTCCCAGCCTTGGCTTCGGGCCTGACCTGGCTAGGATCAATGCGGTGCTAACCATGGGTCAAGTTCCAAACGCTATCCGCCGCTATCCTCCGTGTCAAAGCACTGCTCTAGTCTGAACCCCGGAAGTGAACCAAGCACTGAGAGACCAGTCTCCAAGACAGCGACACGGTTTCAGGCAGGCCGTGCGCCGTAGTTTCAAACTGTGCCAGGAAGGCAAAGCACATGTTGAGGAGAATAAAGCCAAACCTGCAACAGAACGAGTGAGGGGCACAAGATGTTGGTGATCCGGCTGACGTCTCGCCACCCTCCCATATTTTACCATCTGTCTTGGGTCCAAGGCAAACGGCGATGCGAAGGGCAGACGGCCTGGGCAGAGCTGCACAGGCAATTGACTTAATTACAATGCTCAAGAGCTCAGAATGCCAAGGCCACCACTTCCGAGGGGCATCGGGAAGCCATGCGACACCTCCCTCAGCCAAGCAACGCATTCTTCCGAAAGCACCCTGTAGCCTTCGAAGCTTCACACCGACTTCCAACTTCGGCATCAATTCGTCTGTTATGTATGTTGCATGTATGCCACTGGAAACCTTGTCTCAGGAAGCAACCATATGGAGTTGGTGCCACCGGCTCAAAGTGGCGGGGCCCCAAGCATTTCGATATCGAAGAGATTACGCTGCGAAAGTGAGCTCCTCCATCACGAGCGAACACAGCCACAATGTGCGTCAAGCGGCAAACCATACCATGGACAAGGTAAGCCGGTAAGCCTCACTAACGATGCAGCTTTTCTTGCGGCATGACTGCGTTCAATGCTGCAGCTTGTGAGACAAACATGGGATCGATCGGCATTGCAACGGTTACGCCTGCGCTGTTGATTCCTGATTCGGGTGTGGAGTGCACAATGCCACGAGGCATGCGCGTGTGCTTGACTTCAGCACAGCATCGGTGAAACCTAACGTGGAATCTTGACAACAATTGCCTCGTGCTCCTTCTTGCAAGACCTTAGCAACCTTGGCCTACTCCTTGCAGCCAGGATGTGTTGTCTGATACTTACTCCCCCTGACGACCAGTGACCATATGCGCGTCACTCATCGTCGATATCAGCCAGAGCTTCGTCCTCCTCCCTTGCACGGAGAGGCAGCTTCTAAAGCGTACGCAAACGCCCTTCGCCTGAGGTCTCGGCCCCTCCATACCTTCGGCTGCTGGTACAGGCAACGCAGCTTCCTCTCTGTCGACCAGACCCATGAAAGCCTCGACGTCGCTTCACCACTCACAGATTATAGCTCTGTCTTGCAATCTCGCGGGGTTTGCCCTGGTGATAGTATCTGCACTGAGGCTTGAACAAGCATTGTCTGCACATAGGCCGGGATGGCCTCCACACAGCCCGGGGCAACAAACGTTCAACATGTCGCCGGCACCGCTCCTTGTCCAGGGGTGTCCCCAGGCTTGCCACCAGGCCACGACAGGATTCCATGACCACCTGACTTGTCTTTTCTTGTCAATTTGTTGGTGATCGTTTCGAGCCTACCAGAATTCGTGGCAAATCTCCTGCCTCAAAGAACTCCCAGAAAAGCAGCGCACGGTGCTCAAACTCTTCGGGATGATTCGCTGTGATCTTTCCGACCTGTGTGCTCAATCACATGCTGGCAAATGCCACAGCTCTTACTTAAAGAGCCCGTTGCAGTGCCTCTTACAGAAATCCTGGCAGTACCCCTTCAGCAACTGTTTCAAGGCGCTGTTGTTAGGGCACGGGCGTGAGAATCGAAGCTCTCCAGGATTGCCTGAAGCTGCTCGAGGTCGAGGTGCTCCTGCCACGCAAGGTAAAGATTCTCGCATGTTCTCAAAATATGTAGACGCACACACATATACATATGTATATATATACATACATGTATACATATATATATATATATACATATACACGTGTATGTGTGTATGTGTATATATATATATATGTATGTGTATATGTGTTTGTATAGATATGTATATATATATATATAAATGCATATTTTTAGCACTCGCACTCGACGCATCAGGCGAGGTGCAGGGAGAACTAGCAACACAGCAACTATACTATACAGATATCTATATATATATATATGATACATATAAACGTGAATTTGTGTATGTGCGTAGACAAATTACACATGTATGTACATATAATATACATATATATATATACATACATAGAGACCGTGTGTGTATGTATAGAAATATATACATACATATGCGTATGCACATACATGCATGCATGCACTCATTTTGATTGCCACAATATATTAAAGCACATTATGCTATATTACTGCACAACACCGAATTATGTTATATTGTTAGTATTGCTACTATTGCTATTATACATAATTTTTGCCTCCCACCTAGCTAGGACGAGCCCGCATTGCAGGGTACAGTCTTGTGGAACTGAAAGACAGGGTAAGCTGTACGCCCTGTTAGTGCCGTTCACTACATGCTATTTCAGCATCGTCGTTCTTCACTGAGGAATACGATGGAACGAATTGGCAGCCACAGAAATTTAAGGTTCAAGTCTTCACTCTACAGTCAAATCAGAACTCAGATCAGATCTCCACGCTGGAAGCAAGGTTCAATCCAATGGGCAACCAGTGGACTGAATCAGGCTGCGGTCGTTAGAATTAGTGAGCACCCTAGTACCATCGCGTCATACGACAGACATCCAGTAGCGAATTACGAATTACAGGTCTTCTTGTCTTACCTTCACAGATGACAGAATGTAGTCTCTTCACGGAGCTTTGATGTACACATTGATTTATTTACTGACTTTTTTAACTTAGTTTTGCACTCATAGTGTCAGTCATGGTTGTATTTTGGTTTGTGTTGAGTCGTGTCTGTGTATATAGATATCTGGAAGTGTTTCTCCCAGGCATTCGTTACAAGGAGACGTCTGCACTCAGCAAAGCCATAGTGAACTCATCTCTTCTCTTCTGTTTGTTCTCGTCGTCTCTCTCTGCTCTCTTTTCTCCGAGGGGCTGCGGGGTCCAGATTATAAGCATGTCCGTCCATGCCTCTCCGCCGAAAATCGCAGCCATGTCAACGCTAACCGCCTGTCGTCTCAAAAACTGACGGATCTGCCGCTTATGCTCGCCCAAGCTGAAGCCAAGAAATCTTCACTCAGGGTTATCATTGTTTTCAGTCCATTTCTTCTAGTCAGTCACTATCAATGTTCGCAATGTTGTGAGGTGTCAATACTGATGACCGGAGCCGTGGATACCGTGATGTTGAGATGCACCTCTCGCTGGCCGCATAGATTAGCAGGCCTTCGGGGCGCCCGCTTCGGCTGCCTCTCCCTCGGGCGGTGGTGGGGGAGCCTCCTGGAGAACGACAGTGCGAAGTGCTTTGCTGAGGCTGCGTATCTGTAAGCATCTGGCGCCACTCGCTTCAGACAGCTTCTCGTGAGCAAACCTTGGCACGACACATACGCAGGTGCCGGTCCCGCCGTCGGCGTGTCGCCGGTCAATTGTTCTTTCTGAGATCCTTCGAATTGAAGCTGGGGCCAGGGCTCCAACACGTACTTCAATGTGGCCTGACTTCTTGGGATTTGCGTCTTTTCCGGAAGATCTCAAGCCACTTCGACGAAATTGACCAACCCTTAACTAGGCAGGCAGCCGGAACTAAAACTCGCTCTCCTTGATAGTACGGCCACGGCTGTGCCTGCGTGCAGCGCAGCCCCATCATAATGTAACATCCTGTGCCCACAGCGCATGTCAACTCTCCACGACTTGGCCGTGCGCCAGAAACGCATAGATCGACCGGATGGAACGCCGATTCTCCTGGCAGAAAGAAGTTGAAATAAAACCACGGCAGTTCTACCTGCCTGCATGCATCTGTGCTTCCCTGCCTGAATCACCACAAGATTTTCATGCTGCACTGCATCTTTTCGAATCGGGTCGTCATCGTAAACGTCCATAACTGGAATCAGGATATCCGTGATGAATCGGAAGAGGCCCTGGCAAGTAACCCCTTGATGTTTGCGTCAACGCTTCCGCTCAGACTTAACTTTCCGATGGCCTCGTCCAAGGGCATGGGCGGTCTGCCCTTCTCTGGCGCATACTTCCTCAGCGAGGCCACAGCTCATGTTTGCACGTCTTACCTCTTCCGAGAGCGAAGCAACTGGGCTGACGGCTCTCGAGGCTGCTCACACATTGTCCAGGAGGCTGTCCGCATTAACAGCTCCTCTCACGTGGCCATCTAGGTCATGTCAAGCCGACCCCCTACTTCGTTTGCGATAGGCTGTCCAGGTAGTGTGCGCGTGTCAGCCGCTGGGCCAGATATGGCCTCACTTTGCATCAGTCACAGTCTTTCTCTGAAGCCGATGGGATAAGATTTTGGACCGCAGCCTTCCATCCCGGATGCCTGCGGCTTCCTCAAACCAGGTACACGCATGTGACCTTGCCCAGGCATGCTCTGAAAGAGATGGTGCCTGTGCTCACCGCTCTTGAAAGTTGGGATGGGGCCCCCGGCCAACTGAGTGATCCTTCCGCTTGACCCTCCAACAAGCCACAATTGATGACCAGGTGCTTCCAATCCTTACACAGGCGATGCAGATGTCCAAGCAGTGGAATGAATACCCGCGATTCACATCAACACGCACCGCATCTCCAAGACGTGGACATCCATGCCTCACCATCCAAGAAAGCGATGATAAAAATTCAATCTGGCTCTTGACCATGTCTGCACTGAGAAGTTTCAGCGAGCTCAGGCGCAGCCGATGGTGTGTTGGCTGGCAGAAAGGTCCAGGCCTTTGAAAGACAAAGTGGCAGCTATACTATAGTATCTGTAGTATGATATAGCATTTTATGGCGCATCAAAAAAAGGTATTGTAGCAGACTATAGTCTACTGTCGTATACAAGCCGGCAGCGATCCCACCCCTGTACAGATGCGGCAAGGGAGCCCATGAAAGCGTATGAGTCGAAAAGGTCGATTAAGATGGCATAGAACTCTGTCAGCACATCCTTCACGCGAACCTGGAAGCAAACACAAGACATGTATAAGAGAACAATCTAAGCAGGTGGTGACAGCATGAAGCACAGAACCGGCCTTCATGAACGATTCAACCCACCTTAGGACACAAGTTCGACCGGGCCTTTGCGCTGTAGAAAAGATGTCTCCGAGTGGGCCTTGAATGTGTAGAGTTTGCTTCACTGTTTTGCAGTGGAGTGGCTTTAGTCGTAGGGCATCCCAGTCCTTTCAATTCCAACATTCGGCCTAATGATGGCTGCAACGGGCGCCGACCGAAAGATTCAGTACAGGTGTCCTGCTCGAATCTGGGGTCGACTTGCGCCCCGTCTCTGGAGGATGCTGTGGACGGTCGGCTGTCGATTTCCGGATAGGGCTCCGGAGCAATTGGCACCTAAGCTGCGCACACCTGCTTAGCAAAACAACGAATGGCAAGCTCAGGCAGCAGGCAAACACAGCATTACTCTGTTCGACCACGCTAAGAGCTCACAGAGGTACCACAGCTTTAATTTTTTGCCGAGATACATCCCAATGAAACTCCTAGGCTCGCTGACACATGGCATGCATCAGCACAGGTGCAGCGAGCGACCAGCACAGCAAGGGCGGATTCAAATGATTTGGAGACATCTTGCCAAGGGTCGATATAGTGTGCTAGGCCGTCGGACGTCAGCGTTTCTGGATCAGCCTGGAGGGGGGTTGCGCGACAGCTTGCATCCTGCTGGCAGAGTGCACCCGGCACCTTACAAATGGACTCGTAGTCATTCTTCATGACGAACCTAAGACGGGTTTAGGGCCCTGCTCTGAGAGCTCCCCTCTAAGCTGGCTCTCTGAGCCTGTAAGTGCAGCTTCCGGGAGGCGCCTTCCTGCAGGCGGCTGATACACCGAGCTGCGCAACCCTTGGCTTCAAGCTTTGAACTCTCTTGGTGCGGACTGTCTCTTTCTATATGGCCGTGGAGAGTTGGTTTCCTGGCTGTCTTAGACAGCCGCGCCTCGCCAGCTGCGACGAAATCGCTACCTAGTCTTCCAAACCAAACCTGGAAATGGCTCGGCTAGGCCCGGGCAAGTGGAAACTCGTTTCAATCTATATAGGTCGCTGCGAGGGCGTCCGCTTTTGGTATTTGCGATGTCGTGATCTCTCGTGTCGTCTCGTTTCGTGGGCATCAAAACGCATTCATACCCATTCAAAACGCCGTATGGCCACCCCTCAAGGCGTTCAGGAAGGTCGCAGAGCGTCTGGACACCCACCGCTACCGGGTCCGATCCTAGAAGACGGTTCGGGAGCCGATGATGTTGTGTAGTCTTTGCATTTAACGTGGAAGAAAGGTGCCATGCTGCTGACCTGCCATCGTCTCTTTGCTGTCGAGACCCTCGGCATAAACAGATTTCCATGACACAGAACGTGGATAAAATCGGGAAACATCCCACCTCTGGCTACTTCCGTTGTCGATTGAGTTTTCCCAGTGCCCAGGCAGGCAGTCCTGGAAGCTATCCACTCGACCTCGTCAGGTGTGATGTCCACCGGGATGATCTGTATCTCGAAGGGTCCACCATAATCTTTCTGTGGGTACACCTTGGTGCAGATGCCCCATGAATAGGGGTTCCGGCTGCTCTCCTGTGTTTCAGTACTGAGGTCCAGGCCCCCTGCCAGCGAGGTGCAACTACGTACTCGCCACGGACGGTCTTGGGAAAGTCTTGCTGGCCGCCAACCTTCCACCTCCCAAATGCTCACGCACTGCGACGTGCTATGATGTGATTCCTCAAACAGGATATGGTGAGTGCTTCGACCTGCCTGAATTTGCATTCCATCAGGTTGGCTTGAGGGCCATAAGCCTCCTCTGACCACTCCAGCGCATCGACGTCCTCAGTGCAAAGCACTCTTTCATGTCGCCCTTACACGGTGAGAAACATTCTGTCTGCCTCCTCTGCGATTGCGGCACCTTGTCTAAGCTCGATGAAGACCTGCTAGCTAGGCGGTGCTGTGCAGCAGCTGCATGTGCCCGCAATTCACATGCCAAGGCCGTACCGGGCCACGTAAGCTCATCCCACAGCCCCACGAAGCAAACAGGCCTCCTCGCCCTCCTCCAAAGTGGAGCAGATCACTTGGCGAGGCCTGGCTCAGGGATTCAATGGGAGCCTTTCAAGGGCACAAGATGAGAAAACATGTCTGGCTGGCTTAAGTGTCATACCATCAGAGTTCAAGACTCTCTGGGGTACCTTGAGTTTGACCCGCAACGCGACAACACCTGCGTGCCAGATCTTTGCTATCTTTGCATGTAGCCAGGATGCCCGAAAGGCATGAGGATATTTCTCCCTCTGGACGCGTGTAGCTGCAACGAGTGCCTTTCACCATGGCAAGAGGAAGACTTTGCATTTGACTCGCGGAGTTCTCTGAGACATGTTCCAACCAGCGCATGTGCTGTTTCCCGGCACCACATTGCACCTGGACACTGCTCGCGAGCGCACTGTCAGCACACAAGATGAAGGCACTTCGGCCTCAAACTTCAAGTCCTGACAATTGACAAGCACCTGCCGGCAGAACGACCAAGGAGTCACCCCAGCCAATGAGATGCTTCACACAAGCTCAAGTTGGACAGCCACTAAATGCAGAGGCACAGTTTGACAATCGGCCCTTCACAAACATTTTGCAGGTCCGAGACTACGGCATGTTCTGCGAAACACTCGGTGCGGCCAGCTGTTAGTGCAATATTGCGAAGCAGCCTTTTTCAATGCATCACGAGGCACCATGCTTCGCAGCTTGCATATGCCTGCTTTGCTTGTTTGCTTGCTTAGTGGTCGTTGCGTGCGTGAGTCAGCGGGCGAGGGAGTGAGCAATCCTCTCCGTGGACCGATCGCCTGAGCCGTCTGAACTCATCGTTTTGCACTTTAGTCGGTCCCTGACCGGGTCGCAATGTCCCTCTTTTTGCAGCAATGGCTTTCCTTCTGTGCCACACGACAGACCAACCAAAGGAGCTAGTGGCATGCACGGGCCGGGCCTTCATGGCTCCCGCTAACTGCAGTTTTGCAGCTGGCAGTGCCTATGTTCGCGCGCCTCTTGAGAATAATATTTCCAGCAGCAGGTGTTGATCTCTCTGTCTCCCGCTCCCTCCCTATCGTCAGGCCATGCACACGAAATCTGCACACGAAATCCAAAGCAAGGTACATCATGAGAACTTTTTCCACGTGCTGGGCTGTTGTTGCGGGCACTGCATTCTCGAGTTGCCGGGATGGCAACACCACCTGAGCAAGCGAAGAATAGGGATGCCCGGCTGGACGACGGGCACTAGTTGAGCTGCACGCGTTGTAACGCTCATGGTTGCTATACGGCTGGAGGGGCATAGATGCCTTGACTGGCCTTGATCGCAAAATCATCATGGCTTTGGCCCGTTGCCGCTTACGGATCCTCACCATGCTCCGCAACCTGGCCTTGTCCCTGTAGAAGAAAATTCGGGATGCAGATCTCAATGAGCCTGCCAAGCTTCATCGAACTCATTCGGTTTCATCATCTTTTCTGCATGAAGCTGAGGTTGTGGTGCTGCATGTTGCACGTGCTACCTATGCTTGCACAAGTGGTTGGCGTGCCTGTAAGCACTGAAATTACTAGGACGGCCGCGATCAGAATCAGCGCCAGGACAATGGCGAGCAGGAGGTATCTCAAGCATAGCACATTGCACCGGAAAGCTGGCATAATGGATCAAGCAGGCTGAACTTTAAAAGCTTGTGCAGCCTGTCTTTGATGAAGGGCGGGACAAAGTCAGTGTGGGCATCTTGCAAAGCACGCACCTTAGTTCATCTGTTTGAAGGGATAACCTTCGGATTTCTAGCCTTCATTGTAACCTTCGGCTTTCCGGCCTTCCTTGTCATTGAAACGATATTAAACCGTACGAGCTTGCACCAGGTTTTGCTGCCCCGACTCATGCAACGCAGCTCAATTCGTAGGGACGCTCTTACACTACAGGCTTGGCGCAGGCATCATGCTGCCAAAGCTGCCAGAATGATTGACAAGTTTTGTGAAACATCTTTCTCAACCCACCACACTTCGTCGTTCACTGCATTCTTAACCAAGCTTGGTCTGAGAGATGCAACTGCCCATGTGGGATGAGCATTCGACACTACTGGAAAGTCACGCTCAGATCTGGAGCCTCAAGGCCGGCATCGTCCGATGTTCAATCCCTCGCAGTCCTCATCCTCCACAACGCAGACTTCGCCGTCGACTCCAAGGCCAGACGGCGTGCAGCAGAAAGTATGACAATGCTGCACTGCGCCATCTGCCTCAACCGTCCAGCCGTTGGCGCACTTGCACCCCTTTTTTGTAACCCGCTCTTTGGGATGCTGCACTGGACCAGGTGCGCATGGTCCCCACTGCATGCCTTGACAGCTCGAATCCGCCACCATGCACCACTCTGCGTCTGTGTTGGTCGGATTGCAGCAGGAATCATGGCATTCCCCATGTCCCTCCATAGACCAGTCCTTGACGCAAGTGCATCCATTGGTGGTGTATCGCGGGCAGTTTGGTGCACATGAACCCTCAGCACTACCTTCGCATTTCGAGTCGGCGACCATGCATTTCATGTCTGGTGCCTTTCCTGCAGCTGACTCCCAAGCGGTGTTGTGGTTGGTGCAGAAGTTCAGGCCAGGAAAGTCCTGGCCCATCCAACGCTTGTAGCAATCGCATCCTCTGCATGTCTTTCTGTTCCTTTCTGAGCTGTCCAGCGTCTCACTGCTGTCAGCTTGTGATGGGTCTGATTCCAGGCGGCTGAGTGCCAGGTTGTCTGGGCCACGCTCAAAAAGGCCGCTGATGCCTGAGAGGTCTTCAGCGGCGGCCAGAACGAGGAGACTGGAAACCAGCCATGCGCCCACTGCAGCCATAGGGCCAAGCTCTGGGGCAAGCTGACTTAGAGTCTTTTGGAGAAGCACATGGCAAGATGCCTCGAGTCGGCGATGCGGCAGCAGATTCATCCAGCATGTTGCCAACGGATTACATGAGCGATTCTTGGCTGCTCTATGCCTTGACACGACATACAGCAGAAAAAACCTGGCTGCAGACTTGAACTGCCGATCCAATTATCCAGCGGAGCTCCTGAAGAACAAGCTGGTGAGTTGTTGAGAACTGTGCACGAAACCACATCTAGGCCCCAGGCCAAATGAACGCATAAGCATTGGGCAGTGACACGGAAATCGGGGCACTGGAGTGAAATCAGCAGGTCAGCCTGTTTTCCTGACTCCGAACGACCCACGTCCCCGCGCCCAAGAAAGTCTCCCGGCACCACCTGGCCCGCGATCATCCACACCTCCCCCGTTTCTGTTTCCGTAATCCATCAAAACCCCCCCCCCCCCCCCCCCCCCCCCCCCCCCCCCCCCGCC